TTGAAATCATCAATCGAGAGTAAAACTTATATATTAATTTATTTCTATATAATATTATCCTATAACCAAAACCAATAGATATAATATATACAATTATTATAAATAATATTATCACTGTTTATAAGTATGTAAATCGATGATAATAAAAGGTACAAATCACCAACTAAAATTTTATTGCACTCGTTGATGGTTCAAGATACTTCTCGGAAACCGATTTTTCGATTCTCAATTATTTTTTTTTATTTCCATATTATAATAACATTATTGGTATGTATTTTATTCGTGTCACTTTATATTGTTTGGGTACAATAGTTTCTGTGTTTCATGATGAAATACGGTCGAATACAGTTGTTATCGTGCTGATACTTTTTGATCATGAGGGTGCTCAGCCTTTTAGATTCTGAACACTGTGATGAATGTATTAATTTTACAATGATGTGTGTGTGTGTGTGTGTGTGTTTTTTTTTGTGTCTGTGTACAGCATAACTAGTCGAAATAATAATATAATTATAATCTATAATATATCCTAGACAGATAAACCGTCTCTGTCAGAATCGTTTTTCGTATACATTATACAATGATACCTATCATCGCATTCAAATTTAAGCTACCCTAGTCAGAGGTGTACCCCACCCCCTAATGTACAGCAGAGCGACATCCACTTACCCGCTTTTTTTATTTTGATGTTATGTAGCCAAACGTTTTGTTATTTTCATTTGGATAATTAAATACGACATATTATATTTGTGTTATTAARTTTGCACTAAATATTTTTGACGGTATATCGTTATATATTTATTTTAATTTAACCACGGATTGAAACTGTATTAAAATTAACCTGTACTTACAGTTATCATAGAAATAACAATAACCATTATTTAAATCTACAATCCAAAGGATCCGTGAGCTTAAGATAATTTTTTATTGAATTTGTATTGTTATTTTATTTACGTTCCGAGTAAAACCATTTAACATTTGTATAGTATTAGCTCATTTTTTGATTATGTTGTATGGATTTGTTATAAATGTTCAATATTATTTAAACATAATATTATAATACCGTTACACATGAACTGGAACTTTATTTTTACCATATTTATCATTTTATTTTTTTTCTATTTTTTGTATTCACCCAAATGTATTGTAAATACGTGTTTTAGATGTAAATTTTACGCCAATTTGGTTCACGATTTATTAGTATG